AAAATTGTACTCCATTTAGGAGGAAATCTCCTCTCTTGCCGCTTGTTGCCACTTACGTTCAGTTGAGGAGCAGACCAATTTTTTCCCACTTATTTATGTTAAACCTACCAGTTCACCAACATAGAAACTGAGATGTCAGATAAGTCATGACTACAAAAGTTCTAATTTACATATTGAATACAGTTAAAGTGTTTAGAAAAAATGATGAATTAAGAGGGAAATAGAGAGAAATAATGTTTAAAAAAACTGGTATTTTTTCAGAAGATACATTTCACCTGTATCTGGAGATGGCCACCGGTCTTTATGGTGATTAGATGTCTTGATGTTTCCCTCTGGATTTCTTGTTTTTCACACATGGTGAAACTATTTTTCTTCGTCGTATGTTCGTCGTATGAAAATTAGAGTCCAATTATCGCATCTGACGTACAGCTGGCCGTGATTTACGGAGGCTGAACAAATGTGGGCTGAAACCAAACGAGCAGAACAAACTTAATTGCAAACGCTATTTTTTTCCCCAACAGCATTAACTACGGTTTTAAGCATAAAAACTAATGCAAACATTTCTTTAAGTAAAACAAAACTCACTCGGATATGACGTTGGTAGACCTCAACAAGAGGGTTTCAGTATTTGTCAGTGCAATACCAGATGTCACCACACACAGATAGTATAGGAATTGTTGAACTCCAGTGGAGGCGCTGTTTCGTCAACCAGATGTGTAATTAAAATGACGAATAAAAACTGAAAATAATTCCCATAAAGTGCACATTCAAATGCGAATGAGAATATACTACATTTATCGTTGCTTTCAACTTTATCTCAACTTATCGCTTGCACATTAATCTTAATTGGAACAGTATGTAAAGTGCAAACCTCATTTGCTTATTCAGCTCAGTTTAGCCATAAACCTGTTAATATCTTCTCATGACTCTTCACAAGACAAACAGGTCCAGCGACAGTGACACAAGTAAGTAGACAGTTTTGTAAAGGTATTTCTAAAAATGAATGATTTTAAACATTTAACTTTTTGGTGAGGCTGCCAAGTGCCTCCTTACCAAAATACATCAGCAGAAGAAAGAAACCAAAGTGAAACCAAATCATAGGTTCTCTCTCTTTTGGTTCCATCCCCACTATGCGCATTGCAGTGGGGACATTGTTCTGCTGCAAAAAGACGGGGACATTTGACAACAATCAAATGTTGGGCAACAATTCATCTGGACATCGAACACGACATTCAGAGAAAACCATGTTAAAAACCAAGCTATTTTTTTTAATTCCACTTAGTATATCCACTACTTTGTGTTGCTCTTTCAATTAAAATCCCAGTAAAAATTATTGTAGTATGTTGCTGTCATGGGACAAAATGTGAAAAAGGTTAAAGTTTGGCATGACAGTAATTCACAAAGATCTAGTTCAGTCATAATAACGTACTGTTTAGCAAAATAAAATCAGAGGGGAGATTTACAAATGCACACAAGTTGTCAAAGAGTATAAAAGTGTCATGAAGCTTCACTCAGTCACTGCAATGATCTAAACAGTTTTTATTGACTTGACCCACAAATAAACCAACCGCCAACAGCAAATGGAGGAGTCCATTTGAAATACAGCCCAGCCACAATCAGCTATTTTCAGAGCAAAGTGCAAAAGAGATCAAACATCTCAGGAGTTTATTAGTATCCAGAGCATCTTGGATAACAACCATCAGATACATAATTTATAGCTTTCACCAAACAGCTGGCCTGTTTTGAACATGGATACAAAAAAAAAGGAAAATACTCGAATGTCTAAAAGGATCTGAAATAGTGATGTTTACAAGGCAAATGCTCATTTTATAGAGTCCAGAGACAAAGTTTTGACCTCCATTGTTCCATTGTGATAAACAGATGTTGGCATCATAACCCAAGTTAAATCCTCACAAAGCCTCATGTACGGTGTGCATTTTAGGACATCCTCAGGTCTCAGGAAAACATCCTCGCACATCAGGCCAAAGACAAAAAGCCATCAGACCTCCGACTGAACGGCTTCAGCAAAAACGCCTTCAGACGAGAAGATCTCAAAAAAGAAAAGCGTCAGAACAACGGCGTTCTACGGGCTTAATCTAGCTTTTTAGCATTTCATTCAAAAGATCTTTAGCCCTTTCAAATTTAATTTGGAAACAGATATTCATATTAACCTAAATTTTCAAATTACAGTAAAAAAAAACAATTGACCACCACCTAAAAACAGGATTATTTATAGCCTTCTGAGGCCAAAACTGATCTAAAAGCTTTATCCTGCTCAATCCAGCTCCTAATCTGGACAAATCAACAACCAGAAAAAAAAATAAGATAAAACAAAAACTTTTTCTAAATTGTATTGCGTAATGTAGATGTCACTATTTCCATTTCATTTCAAGATCAAATTAAAAGCAGTTCAGAAGCAATCAGTACTTTCAGAGGTCAAAGTTTAGTTCCTGCCGTTGGTTTTTTTGGGAAAAAAATGACAAAGAAGTGAAACCAAACCCAGAAAAGTGAAGCTGTGGAAACAAAACCAATACAGGAGAAAGAAAAATGCGACTGATCCACAGTTTTGACGGGAAGTCAAACTCCGGAGACAGCTCTCTGTGGGTTTGTCTTTACAAGAGAGTTCCCAAATCAACCCGATCATGGGATTTTTTTTTTTTCCTCTTTTAAATGAACACATAAGCGATGACTGCTGCTGACAAGACAGAAAGCAAACTTGCAGGCAGTCTCTGGGTAGTGAAAAGAAAAACTTTAAAAGTCTGAGGACGTTTCAAAATAAAACCTCTAAATATATATATTAGAAAATGCTTTGCTGCAATTATCTGCTTAGCTGAATTTCAACACCGGGTTCCAACTGCAGCAGCGAAGATTAAAATACAAATGAGGGATTAAAGAGGCTGAGGAACAATGGAGGTGAGAAGAGGAGCTAATCTAATTAAGATTTCAATCACTCAATTAGATCTGAGTAGGAGAAACAAATGGCAAGTAAATTCTTTCATCATAACAACCGGTTTAATTACTCCAAGACAGAGCGCCGACATCTGGCGTGTCCCCTCCAGACTGCTGACAGAGTGTGTACGAACACACACACGTATAGAGTAAGAGGGAGAGTTTTGCTGCGACAATGTGGAGGGATTTTGAGAGTGGGAGTTCAACAAGGACTGGGCTTTAACTGAGCCCCGACTGTGTTTATGAGCGGGGAGGCTGGCAGCACGGTGCACCCACGCGGTCAGAGCAAAGAGTAGCATTAATGGCACTCGGGCCGATTTTTCCCATGAGAGCACGGCTCTCCGGCTGAGAATGAGGTCGCGGGCCCTTTTCGGGGGAGGAGAGGTGCGGTTTAATTCAGCACACGAACACGAGGGCTCGACGGCGGACAGACAGGCTCGGGGAGGGGTTTCGGGAGGCCGGGGAGCCGCGGCGGTGGCCCGAGGTGCCGTGCCAGCAGCACACTCAGAGGGAACAGCCAGGGCTTCTCAGTACTCAGCTGCACCACTTCTTGTTGCGAGTCTGTCTAACCACTTCCTCATGCTGCAGGCAGCGAGGTCAGGGTTCAGTCAGGTCCTCTGACAGCCAGAACAGGCTGCAATAACAAGAGTGCTGGAAACAAGAACTCTCTTTCATTTTCTCTCCACAGCTACTGCCCTCCCCTCCACCCTCCCTGCCTTCCTTCCTGCAGCAAGACACATTTTTGCAGTCAATTTGTTTCTGTGGGGCCGCGGTATTTACAAGCCTGCAGCATGGAAGTTTTATCATTATACAATGAGCTGTTCCCTGAGCATAAAGCTCAAAAACAGGCTTGTCTGGAAATATTTTTCGGTTGTACGGTCAGTGTTGGATTTTGCAAAATAAGCGATCCCAGAAAAGAAGTTTATGGAGGACAATAAAGATGAAAGCGAAACCCCTGAGGGAAATCTTTAAAGGCTTTTTATGCAACATATTTATTTAGGCTTTCACGTCACAGTTTAGGTTTTAGGGAGGAGAAACAAACCGTTCAGTGTTTTCTGTTGCTTTTCAAACCGTTTTTAGGCATATCTGGAAAAATCAGATGGTCATTTGCTGCCCTCGTCTGGTTAAGAACGATATTGCAGCTACACTGTGATACTACAATCTGATTTGAGTCAATGACTTGATCTACAAAGATAACCATAGTTAACTCAGGACAGCGCAGCTCCTCTTTGTGCACAGTAAAAAATAGTTCTGCTAAGTAACAAATAACTAATTACACACTACTTCTTGACTGAGAAAGTGAAGACATCTTTCTGATAAAAACCTTAAAAGTTATCAAGTTTTGTTTTGAGAGCTAATTTCTTGGACTTTCAATCAAAAATAAAAATTTGACTTTTAGACAATGAGGGGATTTAAAAGGAAGTTGAAATTAGCCAATTAGAAGAGTTCTTCCTCCCTGTGGCATCAGACAGCTTTCTGAATTGGTACTTTTAGGAAACCATTTAAAAAACTAACTTAAAACTACAAGTTGTTTGTGCATTAAATTAATGTTAACACATGCAGGGATAAGCAGTTTTGACATCCAAAACTTTTCATGAATATCTAAAATTGAATTTAATAATGGCTAATGAGCTTTTTTTTTTTTTTTTTAATTATTATTAAAATGAAATAACTTGAGTAATTGCCTCCTGTAAAAACTGCATCTGGTTTTCATATCAGCAGAATGGCACAGCAGCAACAAAAACAGCTTCTGCTCTACAGAATATGCTTTATCTTGACTAAACTGAGCATTTACGAGCCCTAAACTATAAAATTCAGCCGATAAGCTGAAATTGGCATGAGAGCAGAGAGTCTTTAGAGGTAAAGCTTCAAAACCCAAGAGTCAGCTCACGCTGCAGGATCGTCTGTTCAGTGCCAAAACAATAGATTCAGGGTCAAATAAAACCGCGGCCAGCACGATGAAGTTGTTGCTGTGAAGCTCGTATCAATTTTACAAGAACGAGTCGACCAGATTCGACAACAGCAACACGAAAAGCAGAGAGCGGACACTGCAGGGTCTGGATGCTGGGGGTCGTTTCACATGTTTGTGAGTTGATCATACGGCACAAGCGGCAGTTTCACACTCCAGGGGGAGCATGTTGGTATTAATAGGTCAGAACGGTGTGTGTGCGCAAAAATACAAGTCAGCTAAGTGGGTCAGAGACACGGATTCAGGGACCCGGTACGGGTCAGCGGGCAGACTTAGAGGTGTATTTGCACATTTCTGGCAAGGGTATCGGCGGAATAGCTTTGCCCCGCAGGTCAGCTTCAATATTTGTTGTACGGATGATTTATAAATATTTCCCTTTGGTCTCACCAAGGGCAGAGCATCTCGCCAGGGCGAAAGCTCTCTCTGAAGTGAAGCCATAAAAGTAAATTCTGTAAGATGCCTGCGTGCCTCAATACACACACACACACACACAATCTGCTGCACCATACCCTCTCATCTCTGCCA